TTTCCCGAATGAAGGAGCATTTACTTATCGTAAACAGCGTCCTCATGTCCCGCAGAACCATTTCTCATAAGGCGGCTTCAGAGAGCGGTTTGCCGGGTTTTTCATAGCGACAAGCAAGGCAGAGCATGATGTAGAATAGGGACTCTAGGTCATGTCGATACATATGACCGCCATTCCAACGCTTGTTGAGTAAGTCAAGCGCCATGAAATGGTTTCGTGCCAGTGCGGTGTTTCGAAGACGGACCGTCAATCTGGCGATCGACTGTAGGAAGACAGGTCAAAGTCGTTCAATACACCATAAACTTTGCCGTCGATACGTCTGAACATGAGATTCCCTTCGCTTAGAGTCGCGATGCAGAACTCTAGGCGTGCTTCATAAAGCCACTCGTGGACTGGAAGAGCAAGTTCAGTAATGAAAATGATCAGGAAGCGAAGATAACGCACCTTGGACGATATCATAAAATACTTGGGCAAGTTCCACTCGGGTCTTCCAGCTCCGTAATAGGGTGAAGCTTCTCCTGGATGGTGACACGGATGACTCGTTCTTCGTAGTCAACATTTAGATGAGCCCTGAGACGACCTCGAATCGAGATCAGGACCAAATTGGGTGTCAAAAGAGTGTACAATGACCGTGAAGGTGGTTAAGCACCCACTTCCACTTGTCGGAAGACTCGGCCAGCTGGCGGGCATCAAGGATGATCTTGTCCTCGGCCTCTCGCGTCGCGCTCGGGAAACTGAGCTTCATGATTAATTTCTTCCCGATGCCAGTCATCCTCCCCAGTCCATGTGCATCTTCCGTCGCCGCAAAAGCATTCTATTTCAACAACCCATGTGCCCCGACCATTGAGCCCGTCCGTAGTGAAGAGAATACGTTTTATGATGACGGTTCGCTTTCCATTGCGGTAATTGAACGTGTAGAGAGAATCAACCAAAATATCTGCAGATGGTGGATATGTAGCCCAGAATTTCGATGGAAGCGAAAGTTTGGCATGATCACGAAGAAAAGGTGCTTCCAGGCCAGGAATAATGCCGAGTTGTGTTTGATCAAGCTGCTGTAGCTGGCATATCATAGCCAGGAAAAGCTGCTTGAATTCGTGGTTAATGTGAAAAACCTACAGAATGGCAATTCCGTAAGTAAAAAGCCAGCTCGTTGGAAATGAAGGAGAAGATGAAGGAAATAAACGAGAGAGATCCACCGGTCCGCAAGGCGGCAAGACACACACGTGATTGACGTTCGCTCTTTCCCGCTCTTCCGTCGGATACTCCGCGACGTTCGTTCGAAGAAAACTGTTACTCACCGGAGATTCAATCACTTTGCTGTGGTCGTAATAATGCATTCGGGCCAATGTGTCGTCAATGGTAATCCCGATAACATGAGTACGAGGGACACCATGTGCGAACATCTCTCTCGCGTAGGACCCAGCCTGTTTCCGCGTGCGTTCTCTCTTTTGAACCGGAGAGAGTTTTTTTTCCTCCTCGATCTCGTTATCCTTTTCTTTGCTCTCGGTAGCGGGAACCTCAATCGTCGCTTCAAGAAGTGGATCAGGGTCGTTAGATCCTGAAGGTCCTGCGGAAGAAGACGCTTTTGAAGCAGCTGTCCCTCCGACGCTGGGCGGATCATATATCGCAGATGAGGTACTGGTATTGCGCAACGCTGTCGCTGGGTCAGTATCGTGAAGATCTAACATAGGACGGAATATTACCAATTTTGTGGAGTTCGCTTCCAGTCTTCACTGGCAACTTTTTGCTACTGCGGGCAGGCTGTATGCGCGTGGCCTCGCTCTGGATCTTGAATTTCTTAGACGACTGACTCCCAACGACGGGATCATCTAGGAGGACTTCAATAACCGCACACTGGACACGAGACTCTCAACGTACCTGTTGAAACTTCTTCTTCCCTCCTCCTCTTAGTGCTCGAGCTCAGCGAAACTGAGCCAGGCTGAGATGTCTGTGACGTGACCTTGGAGGAGCTCGATTGGGCTGATTTGCTACTTGATTTTACTGAACGCGAGCCACGCTTCTTCGATGAAGTTCCTTTACGATGAAATGGTCAGCACATCATTAAATCGGAACTATCGTCGAACACACCTTGTGGGCAACAACTTTCATCACATCGTTCAGCCAAACAATGACCCTTTTCGTCTTTAACCTCTACAAAATACAACAAAAGCCCCCAGAAGACACCTTTAACTTGATGTTTCTCGAGCCATTCCGCTAGATCCTCTCTTTTCGAGAGGTTTAACAGCTGAAGATATATTGCACCAAGGTCTGGTCGTCTCTTTATCAAAGAGCCCAGAAGAGGACACGGATCCTGCACGTAGAAAGCCTTTTCGTCCTCGATGGCAACATTAGAGCCCTTAGGATGAGGGACAGAATTCAACAACCTGACAAGCGGCTCGTATAACCTTCTCTCGTGGCCTGTCTTTTGAACTTCTGCCAGATATGCTTCAAATGCGTTATTGAACTCCTTAGCCTCCTTTCCAAGCTTCCCGGAAGGCTTGACCTTCCAGTCCTCGGGCAGGTTGAGAATGATAGTTGCGAATTCTTCCATGCTAAGGACCTTCCTCTGAGCGAGGTCGTCTTCTAGGAATTCGTTGACCACGTCGACCGTCTGAGAGACTTTATCTTCAGCGTGGCTACCAGCATGTTTAGCCGAGGGAGTGCTGTTGACGATGGGTGGGCCATAAGCCTGTTTACTCGAGGCAACACTAGGCTTGGTAGGAGTTTTCGGGACTTCCTGTGGAGCGGTGGTCTGGGTTTCCGGTTCTAATTCCATGATGAAAGAGAGCGATATGGTAGTAGAGGTCAAGCAGTGAACAAAGAAAGCACGCTCGAGTGGCTATCATGCGAAGATCATATGATCTTGCCATCTTTCTCATCGCAACCAGCGCCACAGTCATTGCTCTCCAAATTTGGTAATTTCGCGAAAATCTTATTGTTCTCTAAGTTCGGTAATTTCTTTCTTTTGTTTTCCCTCAAAGATGCCGATTGTTTAATCTCGCTCTATATGTTTCCGATATTGCATCCTCGATATTTTGTTTCCCAACGAGATATTTCCACTGTTGCAGAGGTAATCACAAGAGAAGGCTTATATCATTATGCTGCACGACATCTCGCTTATACTGTAACGTTCTCATTCTGCATTTGGCTTCAGTCAAACCTTGTATCAAAATTCATGCTTAAAATCGTGGTTCTACGAGTGTGACAGTCAAGTTGTATGCCACCGCCAGTGCTAAAGATCTGATGATTTGCATGGATTCTGGCTACAAACATAGGTCTTCTAGCTTCGAAAATTGGTCGGGATTAGCGATCTATCGAGATAAATGGTATACATCTGGGTGCTTGCTGATTCTGACTTGCCAGGCGGTACTTGGACCGTGTATTTGATATCCCTCTGAGTCGTAGCTCATGACTTATAATTAAAAATCGAACTCGGGCAGACTAAATTCCTCTATCCTAGGGCTTTCGATACAAAACCATTATGGCAACCCAACCTGGCAACCAAATTTCAAGCTTTCTTTCTTCCAGTTTGCATCCAATGCGAGGAATATGGTAACCGGTGTCAGCTGTGGCAGTCAAGTAATAACTTGTGAAATGCATCCAAGCAATGAACGCCAAAGGAATGGGTGAGTACTTTAGTAACGCGGGTTGGAATTTCTTCCAACATCAGCTGGCAAGGGACTCCGATACAGCACACATCAAAATGAAAGATCAGTAATCCCTTGCGCCGCGCCGCGCGCTCGTATCACAGCCTGACGTTAAATAATCTCTAGATACATTTAAAACGCAGAGCTTTCTGACAGAATCAGTCGCCTGGTGCCCTCAATCATCCTTTCTTTATAGCTGGTCTCTGGCAGTGATTCAATTATTCATAATTCGTTCTACTACTTACCCATTCCTTCTAGTCAGTTTGGTGGTCGCACACGGCTCCCCCATCGACTTCAATCCCCATGAGAGACGCCACCTGGTGGTACCCACTGTAGGATATCAATATTTTGGGTCTAACGACAAGTTGCCCCCTATAGCAATGGTTAGTCTCCTCTACTTCCTTCCCTGCCTTGACGCTAGACGAACTGCTGATGCAGGATCTAGAAACACTGGGGAAATCAGTCAAATGGCAACCGAGTCTGTGCCTGCAAGACTCCTCTCCCTGACGACATTATGAAGCAAAGAGGATATGTCTACATGGTAGGTAGAATTTTCCTACGTTCTCAATTATCACTAGGCCACTATAACTACCACAATTATGCTGGAGGAGGGTAAAGAGATCCCAAGGGTGAGTTCAAATCTTGCCCACTCAAGCTTTCTTTGCTTCTACGTTGATCTGTGGTACCAGTATGACGACACCCAGCCTGCACCATTCTCTGAAGACCTTTTTAACAAATAGTGCATCCAAGACAAGTTCAAAAAGTTGGGCCCGAGTTATGGCATTTCCAAGACAATTTTTCTGACCTCAGAGCCTGCTGTTATGCTTGGCCGCTCGATATCTACGATGCTTATTCCGTCTGCTCTCATCAGTCGACTCCATTTGACTTGGGAATCTATGAGCGTAGGTAATTATCAGGTAATTATTTTTATTTGTTTGAGATGTCGTTTCTGATGAACCTTATGTAGAAACATTCAAGACGAAACACATTGTAGCCAAGGTCTCAGAGGAAATTCCACTGTGGGCTCCTACTGAAGCTCGTTAGGCAAACAAACTTGGACTTGGGAAAGGCAGTACATAGATCATTGTGAGGCTAGGCAGAGTCATGTAACGTCTCTTGTTCATTGGGTAAAAGTTGCCTTTTCCTGTCCAGCACTCATTCTTGAAGCATCTGCATTCTTTTCATCTTCTTGTTGTTCTGAACGCAACTCCCTTTGACCATCCCGATTTGGATGCCAGTGAGAATCAGACTTGAGATTCGATATTCGATATACTTGGAAGCTGGACCTCATACTCGTATCAATTCCCTCATACTGGTACAAAAAGAAAAACAGAAGTAGTTAAATCATGGCTATTCCGACACGGGGAATCGAACCCCGGGCTATCGCGATGATCGGTTTATATGAGAGGCGATAATGTTAGCCACTACACCATATCGGAATACAGAAATTAATACTAAAATACTCTCTGATAAATGTACCGGACAACTAACCGCCGGCGCTCTTCATTTCATTCCTCATATTTCTACCATGTCCTCGGCGCAATCTCCCTCAAAGAAAGATGCCAGCAAGCCCCGCCGCCGCTTTGTCGGCTCGAAATCCTCCAAACCATCCTCCTCCACTCCTTCCAGCTCCGTTCTCCGAAATCAGATCCCCGCAGAGATACTCGAAGATGCAGAGCTGAACGCAATCATCGAACAGGTTCTTCCGAGGAACTACAGTTTCGAGATTCACAAAACGATCTATCATGTACGGAAGAATCAGAGCAAGATGGTAGCGTTGCAGATGCCTGAGGGACTGCAGATGTTTGCCTGCGCTATTGCTGATATTATCGAAAAGTAAGAGTCAATTTGGATCCAGAATCAACTGAAGCTGATGTCTATAGATTTACAGCAGCTTTAACAACGATAATGGGAGATGTGACTTATGGAGCCTGCTGCGTAGATGATTATACTGCAATCGCATTAGGTTGCGATATGCTAGTCCATTACGGTCACTCTTGTCTCGTTCCCTCGAACTTTACTCAAGACATCAAAACACTATATGTGTTTGTCGAGATTGGCATTGATTCTGTTCACGTACACCATACAATACGCGCGAATTTCCCTAGCGATCGGGGTGCGTTCCAACTTGGACTGAGGTCGTTGGAAGGAGGTGAAGAGATAAAAGCCGGGGAACAGATACCCATTGCTGGGCCGGGGTTGAGAATCGAGGCTCCATCACCAGAGGAAGCTGCTGAGGCGCCTTTAGAGAAGGTCCCGAATCCGACAAGGTTGGCTTTGGTGTCGACGATACAGTTTGTTGCTGCTCTACAGCGGCTAAAGGAAGAATTGAGTGTCCCGTACACTCCTTCCTCGTCTTCCACTACACCGTTATGGACCTCCGCTTATGAACCGAATATACCCCGATCCAAGCCGTTATCTCCTGGTGAGATTCTCGGATGCACTGCACCTAAACTCGAGGGAGAGGTCGATGCGATTGTGTGAGTTGGATTTCTCTCGGAGATATATCATTTTATTTTAATACAGAGCAGCTATCTTGGCGATGGACGTTTCCACCTTGAAGCTATAATGATAGCCAATCCTTCTGTACCGGCTTTCAGATACGACCCTTACTCGAAAAAGCTCACTCGTGAGCGGTACGGCCACAGGGAAATGAGGCAAGTTAGGAGTGATGCAGTCCAGGGGGCAAGGAAAAGCATTGGATGGATTGAAGCTTCGACGATGGATCCTCCGTCTACGGACAATGATGAACCGGATATACCTCTTTGGGGAGTTATCCTGGGTACTCTTGGGAGACAGGGAAGTTTTCGACAGCTACAGGTCAGCTCTTACAAATTTCAATCCATGCTCTCTCTTAAACGCGATTCATAGGCAATCACAAACCAACTACGAGAATCACGTATACCTATCCCATACATGCCCATCCTTTTATCAGAACTATCGCCTGCAAAACTGGCATTGTTCAATGCGGGGCAGCGTTCCGAATCCATTTCTCTCGAACTGGAAAAATACTCAAAACCTCACCCCCGAATATCTACATTCATTCAGACTTCATGCCCTCGACTTTCCATCGATTGGGGATACGCGTTCGAACGCCCGCTGCTGAGTCCGTACGAGTGCGCTGTGGTCATGGGTGCTGGGAAGGATACGGACTGGATTGATTCGGTCTCGGAGTCAAAGGAATCGGAAAAAGAGATGCAAGAGGTACACTATCCGATGGACTTTTACGCTGCTGGCACTCCATGGGCGGTGTCAAGGGTGAAGGGAGTGTTTACTTAGTGTGTTTACAGTACTGTAGATCTACGCGCTTATTTCGGAGGAATGTCACCCACGTGTCCGTCACCGTCACACCGTTGTTTTTCTCAGACTTCCACATACCATGTCCGAAAGAGGTCGCTCGACCTCTCCTCGACCACTTCAGAATGTTAATACCGATGTTGACATGGACCTCGCAAAAGATGGTGCTGAAAAAGAGATGCCGGACGCAAAAGTGATTATCGTCAACAATTTGACGCGGAATGTCGTCGAGACCCATCTGCGGACGGTATTTGGCTTTTATGGCGAGATTGTCAAGCTGGATTTACCGCTTTTTGCTAAATGTAAGTCCTTTCCCTCTCTTTTTGTTCTATTGCACTAATTGTGTTCTTCAGCTGGTCAAAATCGAGGCAAAGCCGCACTCGAATTCTCCAATCCTTCGGGAGCACATACTGCTGTATCACATATGAACGGAGGGCAGTTGGATGGCTCAATTCTCAAAGTTGAACTGTCCGAGCTCCCTGTCCGTTCTCGTTCTCCCCGATCCCGTTCTTCTCGATCTCGTTCGCCTAGACCTCCGCCACGTCGAAATGGCCGCGACAGAGGAAGGAAGAGGTCCTTCTCTCGACTCTCTTACTCGTTCCAGATCACCTCCCAGCAGATACCGCAGGAAGGATGATGGACCAGCATTCAGGGGAGGCAGAGGAGGATTTGGTCGTCGTGGAGGTCGTGGAGGGCCGCCTCCTCGCAGAGGAGGACGTATGGGCGGTGGAACGTCACGCTCCCGATCACCTGTGAGAAGAGGTGGCTTGGGTCCCAGAAGAAGATCACCCAGCTATTCCAGAGGCGGCTTTGGCCGTAGAGGACGGTCACGATCGAGGTCTCACTCGAGGTCCGGGAGTAGGAGTAGGTCGAGGAGCTACTCAGTGCGGTCAAGCAGATCCCGTTCGCCATACTCTCGTTCAAGGTCGAGGACAAGATCGCGCTCAAGGTCTAGATCAATGTCCTACTCGTCGTACTCTAGGTACAGTCGGAGCCGGAGCAGAGGCAGGTCTGTGAGTCGAGGAAAGAGAAGTATGAGCCGGGACGATATCAGGGACAGTCGCTCGAGGTCACCCGCGAGATAGTTACGCTTTGGGGCTTGACGAGTGGACAGACGATATACGTTGTACTCTTAGGTTGTCCTTACTAGGAACGAGTGGACGGACGATATACGCTGTTTCAATTAATTTCACCTCGCTTGCTATGTGCTATGTTTAGTATCATTCTTGTTACCAGTCCTTCTGCAAAAATGAAATAAAGTATACCATACCTTCGTTGTATTTTTAGCGACGTTGAAAATATTGCTTCCACCTTTTTAACGCGAGAGAAGGGAAAGACACTATCTGTACACATTTGCAGAAAACCTAAGTAAAAGTTGCAATATAATCATCAACTCGCAGCAGTAGTAAACATGGATTGCGTATGAAAATAATAGAAAATTTAACGAGTTATATGGTTGTAAACATACATTGAAAGAAATAGACAACAAAGTGTAGCAGGAGAGAAATGAAAAGACAAGCTCGCAGGAGGATCTCGTCGTCTATGGAGGGATCGAGATCGAAAAGACAGCGGGAGGCAAGTGGAAGTGGAAGATGGGAAGGAAAATAAGATAGACAGACACAAAGCGTGGATACTGATGCAGCAAAAAAAAAAACCTTCCAACGTCCACTATAATTTAGTGCGAGCGCACACGTATTAGAATACCGGATTACCGGTAGATTAACCCATTAAAACGATGTTCGGCCCCACTGGCCTACAATATTCGTTTCCTCCTACGCGCCATCCCACACAACCTTCATCGTAGGATTAGACATTAGCTCATGTCATCGATATCCGTAAACCCCATCCCCTTCTTCCTCGCATGCGCATACCTCCCTGCACTCTTCCCAAAGTCTTCAAATTCATCCTCCGTTCCCACTTCTTCATCCACATCCACATAATCCTCGTCTCTGTCCTCCACATCCTCAGCCTTGTTCCGCCCCGTAAAGGCATCCGCATGCGAAGACACAGACTCTCCTCCACTGTACGTGAACCCACGGAAGTTCTCTTGTACACTGTTCGTGAGTGGTGTACCAGCAGGCGGTCGCTGCTTCTTCCCTTGTCGCGCATTGGCATTAATGTCTATCCCATTCGCAGACCGGGTCTGCCCTGACTTTGATGATGAACGACTTGACTTTATCGAAGCACCACTTCCGTTCCGAGATAGCCCGCCGTTTCTCGACGGAGACTTTTTCTTCGTCGACGTCTTGTGCGTAATGCCATTCGTACCATTCGTACCATTCGACAATGTCAACGAGGTCAACGAGGTCATCGGGGATATAGGTGTCATTGGAGGTGTCTTGCCTGTTTTTTCGCTTCCAAGAGGACCGTTGGGCATGTGTCCGCCGTTCATGAGGAACCCACTTCCGCCCAAGCTTTGGGAGACCCAATCCTCTGATGGATCCTCATCAACAAAGTCGGCGTAATCATCTTCGTTAAGCCCAACCTCAGCAAGGTTCTTTTCTGTGAACTCGGGGTCAAAATTGGCGGTGGAATCGTCCGATTCGACGACCGGTTTGAAAGGGGGCGTAACTTTCTTCTGCGCAAGAAGGTTAAAGTCGATTGCTTTGAAGAAGGGGTGTTCCTTGAGCTCTTCGGCATCGCGGAGAGCACCTAAACGATGTTTCGGGTTCCTGTTAAGCAACTATACCCGAATTTTCATCAGCTCACGAGCGTGTTGGACAGGGAACTTTCACTCACCCCTTTGACGAATTGCTTCCCATCTTCGTTTATGACACCTTTAGGGAACCTAATCTTCCCAAAGCAGATGTTCTTGTACATCTGCTGCGTGTCTTCTGCGTAGAAGGGACTCCATCCACAACACATTTCGAATAACAACACTCCCAAGCTCCAAAAGTCCACAATCTTCGAATATCCATGTTCGTCCAGGAGTATCTCTGGCGCGAGGTACTCTGTAGTTCCGCAAAACGTAGTCGTCAATTCGTCGGCGCGCAAGTCCGCCTTGGATAGACCGAAGTCACATAGCGCTACGTGACCTGTCGCGTCGAGGAGGATGTTTTCTGGCTTCAAGTCTCGATACACGATATCGTATTTGTGCAGATGCTCGAGTGCCAGAACCAACTCAGCGATGTAAAACCTCGCC